AATCCCAAGGAAAGTACGATGAATTGGAGGCGATGCACCGGCGTGTACTGGAGGGGCGCGAGAAGATTCTTGGACCAGACCACCCGAACACCCTAACAAGTGTCAACAACCTAGCCATTGTGCTAAAATCCCAAGGAAAGTACGATGAATCAGAGGCGATGAATCGGCGAGCACTGGAGGGGTGCGAGAAGATTCTTGGACCAGACCACCCAGACACCCTAATAAGTATTATCAACTTCGCTAGCGTTCTTCAAAGCCAAGGAAAGTACAAGGAATCTGAGACGATGAACCGGCGTGCACTCGTGAGGTGCGGGATGATCCTTGGACCAGACCATCCCAGCACCAAACTAAGTGCCAACAACCTAGATGCGGTGCTGCAACTCCAAGGAATGTGTAAGAATTCCGTGACGGTTGAGCAGCGTGCAGGGCCGACGCCACCAGGAAACCCAGTGGATACGTGGCCACAATTTGCTCGCCATATTGTCAGTTATTTGCGTGGGGGAGAGTAGTCTTCCGCGGGGGTGGCAGCTCGACATCGCGGCCATCACACCATAGGGAGTTTGACTGTTGGGGGTCACCGCTGCTCGTAGGAATATTTTCGGGAATCTTGTCGTCCCCCAACTTCAAGATTTTTGTATTTATTTTGTGTTTCGTCTATGTTTTATGCTGTTTGGGGCTACTTGATAGTGGGAGGGAATCAGTTGGTATTACTCGAAGGTTTTCGGTTTTTTGTGGCTCCCAGATATCTGCCGGAAGTGCGAAGCACAGGAGATTGGGCTGCTAGGGGATTGATGATTTGAGGTTTGGCAGTGTGATACGGAGACTGGTGGAGGAGGAAGTTTAATCCAAATTTGTTATCCTAGTATCGCCGATTGGGGGATATAGCTGGAAAGGAGCTAGACTGATATCCGGAAGAAGAGGCGTTAGGGAGAACCTATGTCTTTGCGAGGAGAGAGCCATGTTTTTTATCTAAACTCCCACTCTGCCGGGTAAATGGATATCGGGCAAAAAAGGTGCCTGAACAGCAAAGAATGAGAGCCGCTCTATTTTCTTCACTTCTACACTTCTCATCCCGCTCCTATTGGCTACCCATTTCAACCGGCTAGACTAGTGGTGATAGGAGTGGGATACTACTACTACTAAGTTAGCTCCAACCGGCGCGAGAGGCTGGAGGGCTCTACAGGGGGTAACAATGGCAGACCGTGCAGGACTAGGAAGAATGACAAGTTAGAGATGCCATGAGTGGCGAGCTCTTGAATGTAGTGCTGTAAGGGGGCAGCGTTGGGCATCTTTGGTATTCCAAATTCTATCCCTGCCTTTCTCTTTTGCGGGTGGGAAGTAATATATTCTTATACTTTCTCACCCGATAGGCTTCTTACGGTCAGCTCCCCGACTCGCTAGAATCATGAGGAGGCACTCGCCCGTTATCATCTAGGTTGTTTAGTAACCTGATAGGCCAAAACACACCAAAAGTGATGGGTTTCGAGCTATTATTACACAGCCACCATGAGCAGAAACAGCGTAAGGGAGAAATCTTTCAAAAAGCAATCTGCTACCATAGTACACGCGTAAAAAAGAGTGGGATTTTCTCCATTTCATCCAGAGTTTTGAGGTGTGGAATTTTTATCCCTGCGGGGTACCTGACAGGACGAAGGTTTTTGTATGGGAAAGCTACCGTACTCGCTCGTTCATTTGTTATGCGGACCGTCTGTACCCCTAACCGTCCCATACCACGAGGAAGAAAAAAAGCATGCCCTCTTGGGAAAAAAAAGGAAAGATTCTCACCGGCTCAATTACCCCTTCACTTTCTTTACCGTGGGGGGTGGGGATCGAGTGTTGTAAAGACGGAGATGGGTGGGTTAGGGTTGTGGAATGTCCACACACTAAATGAACGAGCTAGAACGTGGCAACCAACCTTACCCAGTTCATGTGCCCACAGTTCTCTACAAACGAGAGAAAAATAATAATAATCCAAAACAAATGTATATTATACTTCAGACATGTCCAATTTTTGGTTTTTTTCTGCTTCAAAGCCGAGTTTTTAGATATATGTGGAGTTATTGTGACTTGAAACCCTGCAAATTTAGTTTGTTCTGGCCTCTGTCTGGTTACTAAACGGCCTCTAGTGTCATTCAACCGGGCATAGTAAATGCCATAATGCAATTCTAAGTTACCCGCCTACCCCCCCGGAACCGTACTGCCTGGTTCCTAGGCATGGTTTGAATGGAGTAGAATCAATCAGGACTATACTCTCACCTGAAATTAACCGAATTGAGCGCGCCTTGGTTGAACCTAATGGTGACTTATAAGTAGTGCCCCGATCTCTTGGGCACCGGGGGCTGCTCTGATAAAGCATGTAATTGGTTTGGTCAGGTTTTGTCACTTATATGGGATAATTGTGCCAGATAGCTTTGGGGTTATCCAGGAGTCGGCACCTCCTCCGGTGACTGCTGTGATAGAAGCTAAGTAGTGGTATACAAAATACTAGGATCTAGAATGGTGCTCCATATTTAATCTTTCCTCTCTGGACTGTAATTTTGAATATTGTTTATCACCATTGTCGGATTGCCCAACTTGCGCAATCACAGTATCCCCTCCCGGTATGGCAAGATGGGCACGGACTCCGTTTCAAATAGCGCAATAACCAAGACTCTTGTGTAGTCGCTGTCCTACTGTAGTACATACCTAGATAACTTGCCACCTTCCGTAGATAGGGTTGCCCGTTTCTCCACACCTCCGAACCCTAACGTGCCACCCTGAAAGTTCACCACCACCACCAACCGGCCCTTGCTCGCTTAAAACTGCCGGAACCGGCGCTACTAGGAATTGCCTTGTTTGATATGATAGCTACGAGTTAGTCTAGTGGTGGATTTAATTGAAGTTTGTTGCCCTCATCTCCTAGTTTAATTGTGCTAGCATCTATCCCACGATTTCGAGATCGACCAACCAGGGTCTATCTGCCCACCCAGATACTGGGAACTGCCAAGTACCGCAATTTACGGTTCTATAGCTAGGCTATCGCTTTGAGCCATCCGAACCACATAGGTAGAGCCCAAATAATTGTCGCCCAGGCGTGGACGTTATGTAACGGGTGCTCAATAATGACTCTGCGACGTGGAAGTATCTCCGCAACCCGGTAGATTTGGGTTGCGAGTATCTAGAGTGGGGCGACCTGTAGAGGGAGGGCGGGGTCGATACGAGTTTCGGAATTGTAAGATTTCTGGTATTGTTAGAGGCACCTGCGGTTGGCTGTCGAGGTGAAAGTTCCATCTCGTTGATTGCCTGGTTGGCTAATAATTTGTTCGCTGGATAGCATTAAGTATGGTGTAGATGGGGAAGGTGAAACTTCGCATGGTGGCCTCATGCTAATGCAGGCAGCTCATAATATGGTAACACAAACTCGCCTTTTGGGCTCTGGCACCAAACATGCGGCTCTGTAGGATAATATCGCTAACTTTTTACCCCTGGCCGGGCGGCTAATAAACCGCTGTACAGTACTGTACACGATTGCGGGACCGAGCCCGATAGATGTATCTGCCACGTGAAGTATGGTAAAATGGTTGCGCTTGATAAGAACATAGCAGTGGATTGGCTGGGACCCCACGAAATTCTCGTGGTGTGCCGTACTCAAGTAAAATAAGGTAGCCTAACCGTACGGGATGAACGTTGGCGATGCAACCTTTTAACCATCCGATCGTGCAAACAAGAGTGGGGTGGGAGAGCCAGCCTTTCTATGATGCATGACCTGCCCCCAAGATTTGCATGACAAGGGAGGTCCGGGCGGGCCGAAGGGGAAGGGGGTTGGGGAGCGGGGACTGTGGCCAAATGAGTTTGGAGTGGAGGTGAGCTCCAGTTAATGGCGGAGTGAGGGGGGTTGCACCCAAAATGATACAAGGAACTAGGACCTGTTTTTCGAGCAAGGGAGATCTATGATAGAACCCTTCCTAGGGAAAAAAGCATCATAAGTTGAGTTACATGGGAATCTCATGAGTATTGGCGAATTTGTACTTGTTCCGGGGTTCTCTGAAAGCATGAAACCTTGGCGCCAGGACCCCCGAATTTATCGACATTCGCTACGGGTAGTATTCCTCATTTTCCCCGGAGACAACACGCATGCTGGATTCAAATTTGTAGTAAATTGCTACGCCTTATTCTACTGCTTTTGCTTAATATATCTTAAGGCATAAAGGCGCCAGCCTTGGTGAATCCCCACCTTCTAACGCTCGGTTTCAACCTACCTCCCATCTAACTCCCGGGTTCTATCACCAGAGGTCGTCTTCCCAACAATGCCCCGAGTCTCGGGTAGCTGGGGGTGTCGGCTGAAGAAGCGCCGCACCAACGGGTAGTAACTGCTAAAAAAGGTCGAACTCTGTGAAGGCTTTCCACCCATAGTGCCTATGTTCGCTACCCTCCAACTACCAACCCGATGTAATAACCCCCATGGAATCTGTATACCGTGAGAGGAATAAACAGGCTTGGCGCTCTTTTTTTCGCATTAGGTTGACATTCACAGTTCTGCAAATATCTATGTACCGTACTCATGCAACGACATGTGCATCTAGGCTTCGGATAATTTATGCTCGTTTCGTACTTCTGATGTGAAAGGACTCTTACTAGCACAGCGGAAAATGGCTTATGCAGGCCTGAGGATTTTCGGACGCGCGGTGGGATGGAGGGGCCCCGCCAGGAACCTGGAAGGAGATCGGAACTGGCTTGACATTTTTCATCACTACTGAGTCTTGTACGATACTCGTAAAAAAAGTGTGAATTATCGTACCCCCCTCGGTTTGAATTTGAATGGTTCTTCGTGGAGGGGGGCGGCAGGAGCTCACCCGTATTGACACGATATCATGATTTGCGTTGCCGAAGCCTACTGTACTGAGTATTTGTTGGATATTTATCGATACCGTAATGTTCCAGCCTTGTGCGACCTGCAATTCCACCTCTCACATTTCCATTAGGAATTCCCGGCTGGGCTCCCTGACTTAAGCCGGCTAGCTTTCATGGGATTTACCAAACCAGATTTATGATCGGTACGGTACCGTACGGTAGAGGAGTCTTGTCTCTCGCCTCTTTTTGCAATTTTATGCGCCAGCTCAGACTTTACATGCCTGATCGGTTAATTTCACGATGAAGATGGGGCAACCCTAAGCGATCAGGAAATGATGCTATTTGCATGGCTTATTCCAAGGTGGGGTCAAACAGCCCTCTTCGTTTAACGAGGACTCGAGTACGGTACTCATGAACCGGCAGAATTCGGGGGGATCGATTCGGTATTCTTAGAGGCTCTGGCTGATCGAGTACGAAGATTCCAAAATGCGCGGCTACTGTAGCATGCAGGAAAATGCTCTGCAGTCAGCAGGTGTTCGAGTACCGTAGTTGTGAAATGTGACTGAGCGTCTCACCTATCATGCGGCTGAACGAGACATGCATAAAATGCTACTGGCCAGTCAAAGTGCGACTGGTGCCCAATCGATCAGGGTTGCATTCCCAAACTGCAGCAGACAGCCAACACCCTACCGTTAGAGCACCGTACTGTCCGCCTTTCTCCAACCTCTCGCCCGCGCGGGCTTCTAACACTTCTGATTTCCGGAGATTGAGTTTCAATCACTTCAGCTGCCCCAAGACTTGGTCTTTTCCCTCATATACCCATTCACTGCCCTTAACCCAAAGCTTTCGGCTTCGCCAAATCCAAAGAGCCCGAGCAGGATTCCCTCCCCTACCAGCAGCTACCTTAAAACCAGAGGGTTATTCGACCCCACATCGAAGGGTGCGTCCTCAGTTGCCCTTTCTACCGTATGTCGCGTTATTGCCTTGTTTCGGGGTTTGGGAAAAGATTTTAGGCTGGCTCAATATAGGCTATCAAACCCGTTTCGGATACGATAGCGACATCATATTACTTTTCCTACATGGCCTTTGAAGACAGCCCGTGAAGTGAGTTGAATACCTGATGGATCGGTGGGCTCCCCTTCCCTTTAATGTCTGTAATAATCACAAGTAGTCGGCTAATAATCCTCTCAGAAAAGTGCAAGGCTATGTTAGGGGAGACTTTAGTGGAAACTCAGGGGATCATAATGTTTTTGGTAGTTTTAATAATAATAACGCATACACGAGTTACCTGAACAGTGCTGCCAATCACGGAACGATATATCAAGGATGTGTATTTGGAGCTGAGGGGAGAGGTATTACCGATTTTCCCGCGAGATTTCAGACAAGGAACTAATGTGTTATCGCAAGTGGAAGGAGAAACTGGGCCTTACCGGATAATCCCCTATCGCAGAAATAGCAGGTTCACTGGCCGCAAGGATCTCCTTGAGTCGATAAAGAGGATATGCAGCCATAACGATCATACGCGGATCGCACTTCATGGGCTCGGGGGTTCTGGGTATGCATTCCATTATCGTTACTGTTATTTTGGGGGATTACTAACATTGTTTAGAAAAACTCAGATTGCCCTGGAGTATGCCTATCAGTGTGTAAGCGAGATCGATTGTCATGTTTTCTGGGTGCAGGGGAGTGGGGTATTGAAATTTATTGAGGGTTTCAAAGCTATTGCACAGCATGTTCGGATTCCACTAGCTAGCGCTGAGATGGAGCAAGAGGAATTACTATCTAGTATAAAGAGGTGGTTTGAAGGTCCAGATGGTGTGATTGGATACTAGTTA